ATGTCTGGCTCTAGGTGAGTGATCACACCATCGTGATTATCTGGGTCGTGAAGATCTTTTTTGTACAGTTCTTCTGTGTATTCTTGCCACCTCTTCTTAATATCTTCTGCTTCTTAATATCTATCTGAGGTTAGAAGAAGCCGAATCATTGAAAACAGTGAGTAGGCGCTGGGAAATTCTTACTTCACTGAAACGAGTTTTCCCAGAAGCAGGCCCATCCCCTACCTCAGCGCTTCCATAGCTCAGCTGCTCACACTTCAGGACTTACCAAGTTACATCCCCCAGGCTCATTTGGTCTCAGGCCTCTGTGCTGACATAGCCTTCTGCCTACCCTTTTGAGCTCTAAGTCTTTGGTGTGAAGGCTTACGTCTTCATTGTCATATCTTCAAAAGTAATGCTACTTGAGGTTCTACCAAATGACGGCATGATGCCATCGCGTCCCTGATGGTGGCCAGTCTTCATACCATCAAGATCAAGACCCTGGAGCTACATAATAACAACGAAGTAAAGTCAAAGGATGACTAATGAAATCTGTGGTCATCATAAGACCTCCAAGACTAAAAGAGAGTAAGATAAGAACCTATGTAGAGATTCCAGGTCAAGTTTGTATCACTTGTCAAAGAAAAACTTTTTTCTTCTAACAGTTTGATGAAGGCAATGCATCCAGATCTTTAATGGATGTCAAGTGAACTAGGAAAGATCAGCGTGTTTCCGTGGCTTGACTTGAATGTTGGCTCTGAAAGACACAAGCCATTGAAGACTTGGATGATCTCAGTGATCATCAGGACTCATCATCAGTGATCTCAGGACCAGAAGCATGATGGGTAAAGATAAAAAACAGTTTGTGTGCTCAGAGGCACAGCTGGTGAGGAGCAGCCATGGACAGACCACAGAGGTTTAGAGCCAGAGAGAACCTTGGAAATGAGCTGGTCCAATCTCCTAGCTTTATTGGAATGAAAACCATGGAGGGTAAATGACCTCCCTGAGATCACATATGGTTTGTGACAGAGCTGGAAATAAAATCCATTTGTACTCATCCCCGGAGCTTCCCAGGTGGCGCTAGTGGTTAAAAACAACAACAACAACAACAACAAAAAAAAGAAAACCTGCCAATGCACGGGACTTAAGAGACACAGGTTCAATCCCTGGGTCAGGAAGATCCCTTGGAGGAGGACATGGCAACCCACTCCATTATTCTTGCCCGGAAAATTTCATGAACAGAGGTGCCTGGTGGGCTACTGTCCATGGGGTCGCAAAAAGTCGGACATGACAGTGACTTAGCACACACCCTCTCATTCCATTACAACCTTGTCTCTCAATTTCCTTCACTTTTAACTTATAAAAATAACATTTCATGGGTTTTTTAAAAAGCACATGCGATGCCCTACCCTGATTCTCTGACTTCTCTTTCTTCTAAAGCTAAAAATAGGAAATGATATTGAGTTGATATTCCCTCCAGTTTTGTTTGTTAACAAAAGAAACCTCTCCTGCTTGTAAAATGGAGGCTCTGAGCATGTCTCCTGCTTTCTGATCAAAAACTGTGACTCGGTGGAGATATTGAGACAGGTATAAGCTGAAAAACTGTTTAAAAAATACAAACCTAAATGTCCACCAACAGATGAATGGATAAAGAAGATGTGGAATATATGTACAATCGGATATCACTCGGCCTTAATGAAGAATGAAATAATGCCATTGGCAGCCACCTGGATGGACCTAGATCATCATACTAAGTGAAGTCAGTCAGACAGAGGAAGACAACTATCATATGATATCACTTATACGTGAAATCTAACACAGACTCACAGACATAGAAAACAAAATCAGTGGTTACCACAGGAGGAAGGGGGTGGGGGAATAAATGAGGAATTTGGGATTAACAGATACACACTACTCTATATAAAATAAATAACAAGGATCTACTGTGTAGCATAGAGAATTATATTCAATATCACGTAATAATGTTTAATGGAAAAGAATCTGAGAAAGAACATACATAATGTATATACAAAACACTGAATCACTTTCCTGTACACCAGAAACATTGAATTCCACTATACTTCAATTTTAAAAAGTCCTCCCCCCAAAAATCCTACACATAGCATCCACACCTTTTATGCCACTGTACCCGAGGGAGCCCCTAGGAAGAGAACAAACTGGGGCACCGTGTGAAAGAGGCTGCTGCAGTACTAACTGTGGCCACAAGGTGTCAGGCTTTTCCAACCAGCCAATAACTGCCCAAGGATAACTCCAGTCCAGCTTTAGTACAGAGTAAAATTTTAAATCTCGCCTCACTGGTGGTGGTCTCTATATTCCCATCACTTTTCTACTTTCCTTAGTTAGCCAAAGGCATTTGAATCCTGAAATTATATAAATAGAAAGAAGTGGCTCAAAAAAGATGAGGGATTTTAGGGACTTCCCTGGTGGTCTGGTGGTTAAGAATCCGCCTGCCAATGCAGGG